TATTAAATTAACAAATTGGCACAGTTTGTTAGTAGAAATATTTAAACAATAAAATATTTCTAGTGAAAAGATAAAGCAATAAAAAGCTAAGAGTTGAAAAGCCTGGCAATGTTCAATCTAAATTAGATAATAATTATAATTAATTATATAATTATGGACATACAAATAAAATACATAATAATCATATTTGAAAATTTAATACTTATAGTAAATATAAAGAAAATTATTTTTATATTAAAAACAAAGAATGTTTATTCTAACAAAACTGCTGTTGTAAGACACTCCTTTAAGTATAAAGAAAAATTAAAATGAAGAGATGAAAAAATATATCATGCAATACAAACCAGTAGAAAACTGGTATTGTTAACGTAAAGTCATAAAATAAGAGAAAAAGTCATTATTGAAAATAAAGATGCATGTTTCACAATAATAATTTTATTTACTACATCATTATAATATTTTAAAAATAATGTGTATGTATCTGATAATGCAAGTTCAACATAGAATTGAAAGAAGTGAACAAGTTAACAATCAAAAATGAGGTTTTAACACTTCTCTCTCACAGCTTGTCACACAAACAGCCACACCAGTGAATCTTTAAAAGGTTTTGAACTACACTATTAACTATCACCTATATGCCCAAATTCACACACACTTGTACAGACAGTATATACTAACAGGATACTTCTGTTTTTGAGTTCACATGGAAATTTTCCAAAGTACACTATAATCTCATGTTTCCAAGCATATTAATATAAAAATATTAAACTATGATTTCAATGCAGTATCACTAGCCTACATTGGTCAATGGACACTTGAAATGTAACTATTCAAATATAAAATTAATTAATAGAAAATAAAATCAATTTCTCACAGTAGCCACATTCACACAGAAACGCAGAATATTTCCAGCTTCACAGAAAATGCTTTATACAGTTTATCTAATATAGAGGTCAATAACTAAAAATTAGGAAACCTGTATAATTTTAACTCAGTAATACATTTCTAAATAACTTATGGGCCAAAGACATTATCACAATGGATGGTCACATTTTAATATGAATTACAAAGAAAATAGAGCAAATTCTCTCTTGTGAAAAACTAATTGCCTTAAATATATATATATAGAGAGAGAGAGTAAAATATGAAAGTAGAATTGAATTATCTGAGAACTCATCAAATGAGATTAAAAGCAGAAAAACGGAAATTAAATATAAGTAAAGTAGAAAAACACAAAGAATAAACAGTAAAAAATCATAACAAGAACACAATTACGGGAGAGAAGCTCAATGAGGCCAAAGGTATTTTTATTGAAAAGACCTTTTAAAAATTGATGAGCCTACCATAGAAAGAGTTTTAGAAAACATCAACATTTTATTTCTAGATTAAACATGGGGAAACCGTTATCGTTTTTACAGATACCAGATATTAAACTCTATCAGGAATACATTTAATATCCTACAAAATAAAATTCCTAGAAAATACAAATTACCAAAACACAATAAAAGAAACAAAAACCAGAGTGAACTCTACATATTAAAGAAATTGAGTTTGTTATACAAACTTTCCTACAAAACATAATTTATAAGTTAGATGGAACCACTAGTGAATAATAACGTTTAAAAATAAAACTACCCTTACACAAATACTTCTAGGTTATAGAGAAAGAGGAAAGCTTCCCAGTATAGCTTTGATAGCAGAATTTCTCATGTACACAGTTTGTAAAAACACAGTTGAATCTCTTTTGAACCTAGATGAAGAAACAAATCTTACTCTAACTATAATATATGCACTGATTTATTTTTAAAGGGGCAATGCAGTATGATAAATAGGGTCTTGTTTCAGAAACAATACTTTTCTAACATTTGAAAGAAATGAAGGTAATTTACTTAATAAACATTATACAGAGAAAAGATGTATCATTTCAATTGATAAAAAATGATAGAAATGTGACATCAATTGATAAAAACTATTAGAAAAACAGGAATATGATAAAACTGCTTTAATATGAGAAAGGTGTAATAAAAAATTCATAAGCATAAATAAAATGTTGATATATTTTCTCCAAACAGAAAATGACACATATAATATACACAGAACTTTTTTTGTTTCTTCTATTCAACATCAGAAATGAATCCCTAACCAGTGAAAATATATCAGAAAAAAATTCATAGCACCTGGAAATAAAAAGAAAAGTATTACAATTTGTATATTAAACAGCTGTTTAAATGGAAAACCCAGAAAAATCTATACTTGATGTGAGATTTAACACATAAAATTAGTGAAGTAACTGGATGTACAATCATCATGCAGACGTCAATTATATTTCTATTTACAGCAACAAAACATATTAAAGAAAATTGAAAAATAAGTGCCATTTACAAAAGTATGAATGTGAAATACCTGTATTTCTATATGACTTCAATCCCCTCAAATCTGATAGAAATTAAAGAAAACCTAATATATTGAAGGACACAGCATGATATTGATTAGAAAAGTCAGTGTTATAAAGAAATCTTATATTTAAACACTACTTTAGATATTACATTCAGTCCCAAATATAAATCCAGGAGTTTTTTAAAAATAGCTTTATTAAGATGTCATGTATACAGCATACATTTCATCCATTTAATGTGCATAAGTCAGTTACTTTTAGTATATTCAGAGTTATGACTATCACTACTGAAATTTAGGAAGTTTCCCTCATCCCAAAAAGAGACCGTTAACAATAAACAGTCACTTTCTATTCCAACCTTCCCTTAGGCATTAGCAACCACTATTCCACTTTCTGTCTCTATGCGATTGCCTATTACTGATATTTCATATAAACACACTTGCATACTGTGAAACTTTAAGAAAGACTGAATGCCACAAATATGATGTTGAGTAAGAAAAGCAAGACACAACAGCAATGATATCTGTACTTAGTGGTGTGCATATTACATTTCAATAACTGATTTTGAAAACTTTTTTCATTATTGGGACAAATTATGTAATTTATTTTAAAACTTTTTCAATCAAAATATTATTTCCGTTTTATGAAATTTAAAATTACCTGAACAGACTCCAAATTCAGTTGCTTTAATTCCAAAGTTTATGCTTACAAGTATACAGTTGTGAAGATCCACATCTGTGTGATTTAAGGCCAGATGAGCACAGCATTACACAGTTATGTTTTCCAATATCTGATTCTGCTATCCTGTGATGGAGAAAAATCCATAATCCCATTAGAATGTATGGTGACAATTCACGGAACAAGAGCATTTTCCACAAATTGTAAGCAAAGAATATTATAAAAACAGATCATATATTCCATATAATAATATAATGAGTTGTTAATATGAAAACTGAATGAAATAGTCCTTTCATCTGCACAGGAGATATGTTCTAAGACCCCCAGTGGATGTCTGAAATCATAGATAGTACTGAACTGTATATACACTTTGTTTTATCTATATATACACACTTTTGATAAAGTTTAATTTATAAATTAGGCCCATTAAGAGATTAAAACAAACTAATAATAATGGAAAAGAACAATTATAACAATATACCAGCATAAATACTCTTGCATTTTGGGGTCCTTATTAAGTAAACTAACAGCGACTTGAACACAAATGGTACAATACCACCTCAGTCAATCTCATAACTGAGACAGCTGAGTGACTAGTGGACAGGGAACTTAGGCTATGCAGGTGCCCTGGATGAAGCAATGATTCATGTCCCAGGTGAGATGGATCCATACACTATATAAAGGATTTGATCACACTACTCAGAACAGTGAACAATTTAAAACTCGTGAATTTTTTCTTCCTAGAGTTTTCCTTTTAATAGTTTTGGCTGTGGTTGAGCCTGGGTTACTAAAACCATAGAAAATGTAATTGTGGATCATTCCTTAATATTTATATCAACATTTCATTAACTTTCAACATCTTTATTTATGACTATAATTGCACTTAAATTTATTCACAATGTTATTCTGAACCTTTTTATATTCTTCTACTATATAGCATCATTCAAAAAACTTACTTCAATTTGAACATTGAGCCATTTATTGACACCCATGGATGATCACTGCTGCTACGAGAGACACCAACCCATGAGAGAACTGACAGGGAGCCCAGAAGTTGCTAATGGAAAATACAAAATTTTCATTTAAATAATAATTATAAAAGATTTTATTAATTTTTAGGTGCTTTCTTTGAATTCTAAACTTTTATTAATTTTTAAAAGTGCAGGTAATACATTCTTTCATAGGATGCTTAATTTTCGAAACAAAATAAATACACTAAACAAAATAGTAAACTTGAAAACGACTTTTATAGTGTAAAAAACTGTTACAAATTTTTGTAATTTTGACTTAAAAGGAGCTCTTCAATTTTTATGCTTAGTACATTCATTCTTCCTATTTTAATAAAAAAAATTGTGATTCATGTAATTTAATAGTTGCCTGGGTTGGTAAGACAGACGCAGTAAGAACTGAAATAAACGTCCTGATACTGCACATGTTTTTCTCCAGATATTCTGATTAAATAAATGTATTTTTCCACCATGTTTCTCATAGTGGAACTTTTCCTTCTTGAAGTTTAGAAGGAAATTGAAAGGTTGCCATTGAGGAAATAAATGACACAGAGGCCAAAAATGGGCTTTTCTGGGCACCACACCACTCTCTAACTAGATAAGCGTTCACTTTTATCTGATTCGGCTTTGGTGGAATGACAACGGTCTTGACCAGGTACGTCACTCCTTTTTCTCTGCTACTCCCTACTAAATACAACTCTAAACTCTGCAAGCAAGGAAAGACACATAGGAAGACTCTGAAAGGTGGAAAGAGGATGGCAAAATGGTTTGGGACTCCAGAATCAGGGATCAAGAGAGTGTCCGGACATCTTCAGTCCCCCACTCAGCAGAAGAAAGTGAACTAATCCTCTGTTTCACAGAGCAACGGGAGGTGGCTCAGCTAAACCCACTCCTGCTCTGTATTGAAAGCAACACCAGGCAAGGCTGGTACCACTGGCAAGGATGATCTAGCAGGAGACCTGCTACCAATTAGGAGCTAGAGGAAGTGCTTCTCCTCCCAAACCAAAAGACACCAGGGTAGGTGCGGGCGAGAGGGATCAACAAAGGAAACCCATGACTACACGTGCACATCCAGGTTCCTTTTTGTCCCTGAGGACATAAGACTCCCTTCCCTATCCAGAGACACAGGACTGAATGGATTGTAAGTGTTCTATGTACATCATGCAGCAGTGAACAGTAACAAACAACAGCTAACTGCATTATTGCACAAATATCATATAGGAGTAAAAGAAGACACAAATGAAAATGCACACTGTATGATTCCCTCGACATAAATCCAGAAACAGGCAAAGCTTATTTATCACATTAAAAGTCAATACAAAGGTTTGGAGAGGAGGCAGGAAAAGTGAGGAAGGCATATCCAGGGGCAGGATTGCTGGGGCTGGAAACTTCTATTTCATGATCTGCCTTGTATCATGAATCCATTCACTTTGTGATCAATATGAATGACTATGACATGCTTAGTTTTCTTTATATTTATTTTGGGATAAAAATATTCATAGAAGAATGGGTTTCCATGAAAAGCAAAACTGGAAATCATCAAATGTGCATTAACAGTATATGAATATAAAAATATTATGAAGTCAGTTGAATATTACACAGACTTAAAATATATGAATTAAATATGTATAAACATATGGATGATTTCTACAAATATGATATTGACGGAAATAAGCTTTTAGTAAAGTGTTGAAACAGTTACGTCTTACCATTTCTTCTTCATTATCTATAGAAAGCAGACTAGAGTTCTTTGAAGCACAGGTCAGCAAACTCTCTTCCCAAGTTCTTTTTTCCTTACCAATGTAATAACAACTGTTGGAATATGTAATCCACTCCTCAGGACAATGGCCACAATCATATGCTAAATAAAGATATGAATTACTATGCAGAACAATATGTTTACAAATTAAAATTATTTTATATATTTGCAAAGCTATAAACACATAGGTACACAATATCTATGCATCCTCATAGGCTGTTAAATATATATTTTAAAACAACTAGTCACTCAT